ACTGGGTTGCGACTTAGTCGCCATCCGTTTGACCTCGGGGGGGGTTTCGGAGTTGCCCATTTCAGAAGAGCTATTTCTGTACCCGCCTGAGCCGCGGCTCTGTGTGCGAATGAGACAGAAACACCGGTGGGCAGTGTCCCCTTGTGCCGGGGGGGGGGTTGAGCAGTGCAAGAGAAAAGCCCCTACCACCGGCGAGTGCAAAGGGCCACGAGTTTCGTAGTTTTTTGGCACGCGTTTCGCCCCTCGGGGTGACACCCACCCCCGGGGTCTGTGGAGGGGACTGGGGGGGCTGCCCGTGGCGTGACTGCCCCGGGCCGGCTGGGAGTGGGGGCGCCACTTGACCAGCGGAGGGTCTTCGGAGGGGTCCTACCTGATTTGGGGGTTCAAGCAAAAAAAAAAAAATCACTTGATTTCCGAACCAGCAACTGGTAAATCGTGGACAAGGGAGTGTAATCATTTTTAGAGAACTCGTCACTCCAGGCTTGCAGACGCTGGCCGGGAGTGAGCACGTTGGTGCAAAGAATTCTCCTGAAGGTAAAGCGGTTCCGGGTGGTGGTAAGTGTCCAGAGTCATCAAGTTTGCAGTTACAAATGTAATTACCTACTCCACTGAGTTCAGTCAGCTGAGAAATTTGTATACGGTATTTGCAACTTGTACCTGAATGTCAGAAGTCTAAACTGGATTAATAACGAATCAATTAAGATGCAGTGGTGAAAGTATTAAGAGGAGTAAGTTAGACAAAACATAAATGCAATGGTGAAAGTATTAAGAGGAGTAAGTTAGACAAAACATAAATGCAATGGTGAAAGTATTAAGAGGAGTAAGTTAGACAAAACATAAATGCAATGGTGAAAGTATTAAGAGGAGTAAGTTAGACAAAACATAAGCATTCCTAGGGATGAGTTATTTCAAGAGAAAAGGAGTCTAAATGAGCTGATTGAGTGAGTCGCAGCTTGGTTCATTAAACTTAGCTTTTGCCTGATGTGTAAAATTTCAGTCAGCTTTTGCAAGGCATTTCCAAAGAGAAGAACGGTGTCGTCAGAGCGCCAGAGGGATTAAAGCCATTTTTCACTACTGTTTTAATGGAGATTATAGTAGCAAATGGAATCGTTTCGGGGACGGTGTGAAGCATTCACTTTGTCCTGGTGCCTGCGTTGTCTCTCTCCAGCATCCTCATCTGTGGTGCTGGTGGAATGCTCGCGGCTTCCTGGCTGGCTCCCAGCCTTCCGGATACTCTGGCAGGATAAGGACTTATTACTGAAAGATGAAATATTTTCATTATTCCTTCTGGCTTTATAGCAAGAATAATTCAAAGTAATGAATGCTGTAAGAAGAAAAATGCAGCAAAAAGCAGGTTGGGAATTGGGGAGCGTGAATCAAGATCTATATTGCCAAAAGGCGGGTCTGTGGAGAGCGTATAGAAAGTCGATTTCTGTTCCAGGATCTGTGTGCTCAGTCTGGAGGGATCATAGCTATATTGATAAATATTGTTTTGGTACAGTGGCAGATTTAGCTCCTCCACGCTCTAGGCTTAAACTACAACATCTTGGTTTGTACTTTGTAGTGAAAAATTTGTTGTTACTTTCTCACTTAATTTTAATTTAGGTGCTAACCCCTTCAGAGCTGCGTGGGCAGCTGCCATTCATTTTAGCAAACAAGCAAAAAGTATCTGTTGCTTCCCTGTCTCTAAGATGTTTGTGAACATTGATCAAATATGTTGGAAAATATATTGGAAAAGAGACATGAAATAGCTGTGGGACAGGAAAAAGAAAAATATGAAGAAACCATGTATGACAGTGAATTTGAGTGAATACAAAACAGGTGAACTATCAGAAATTGTTGAAAAGAAAAGTTATCATGAATTAATCTGTGTTAGGGTAACTGTCACCATGGAAAGATGGAATTATTCTGAAAGTAAACTCTGACTGTTTCCGGGTATTTCCAAGAGACCAGAAGGTCAGCAGAAATAACGTGTTTGCTTGGTTTCGAAGACTTGTTGGGAAACAGATTGTATAAAACTGGACAAAAAAAAAAGAGAAGAGTAACGAACAGGTAGAAAGATGAACACTTAGGAGAGCATTTTAGAAAGCCATAAAGGTTAAACCTGACATGCAGTGAGACAGAAAGCACGGGGGAAAATCAGTAATACAGGCCTGTGCCCTGCAGGGACATGGCCAGTAGTTACGGAGCACTGGCAACACCAGTCCCAAAGCGTTTTAGGACTTGGCATTGCACTTCCCAAAGCTTGTGCGAATGCACTGGTATTGATTACATCATCGAGCTTAAATTTTCTGTGCTTGAAAATACTGCAAATTAGGTTAGATGGAAGATAACAGCCTAAATATGAAAGACAGCACGTGCTATCAAGAGGAATTACTCATTTGGTTCAGCGATGAACTGTTTGCCTGAGAGGCCTGGATGTGTTTTAACAGCGTCTCTGTACAGAACATTAATTTCTGTGAAGTAGAGAAGCACATCTGATGCCTGATCTAAATTTGTGATCCTAAGATTCATTCCTTAAAGCTGTGCTGAAAGTGAAGAAATACAGTAGGTCAGTCAAAGGGTTTAATTAAAGAAATCCAATGAAGTATATAACTTCTTAAACTTGAGAGCAGAGTGTTTGTTTACCTGAATGTGTTTTGGGTTTACTAACATGTCTGGCAAAAAATGCTTCACTCTGGTACGGAAGAATCACATTTATATTTCTGTGATTTTTTTTTTTTTTTTCCCTATTTTAGAAATCTAAAAGTAAAGTTTGCCTGTAATAAACATGCAGCAGTGTTCTCTACCTAGCCCCATCACCACCTCATTTTTCCATAATTTAAATGTTAAAAACAGCTCTCTGTTTTTTAGCCATAGCATCTTCGCTAGTCAGTTTTACTTCTGATACAAATTGCAGAGATAAAATGGTTGATATTTTACATCAGCTCAATTAAGATTATGCTAATTTTTTGATTAGGATCAGCCCTGATTACTTCAGAAGGCCTCTGGACCAGCTGTTGCACTTAATGCTAAATTACTTCATTATTTTGTACTCTTTTTACACTACCACAACCACCAAGATCCAGTATGGTGCTCAGAGCATATTGGTCTACCAGAGCTTAAAGAGAAATTCGGTGGTAGAGGTAACGCCCGGTTCTGATTTCGTTCACGGAAACAAAGGCAGTAATTAATTCATTAACTTTGAACTTGATCCCGAGCAGGGTGACCACCTGGGCGGGCCTGCGGGAGCCGCGGCCCCGGGGCCAGCAGCCAGGGGCCAGCGCTGGCCCGCTGCACCACGCCCAGCGCCGTGCCTAGTGCACAGCTGTCAGGAGAAGGCCTGGAAGGAGATAATCATCATCATTCCGTTTTTTGTTTTTTTTTTTTTTTTTTTTCAAAAGGAATGAAATCTTTATGGAATATTTATAAAGCCATTTGGTTTAAATGTAATAACCTTTTAAACGATAAAATATTTAAAATATCAAATATTGCAATAGCGCCCTGCTTGAAATCATTTACTAACTTTAAAATGTCGACCATTAGAAAAAAATCGAGATTGATATATTCAAATGAGGAAATCGTTCTTATTCTCCACTGTCACTGTAATTTTGAATACAACCCCCTAATCTTAATTTCATACAAGTACGAAATTCTGACATTTTGGAGAGCCCTGAAGTAGCAAATAGTACACATGTATCATGTAGTAAATTAGCTTTAGAAAAATCTTTTTTTTTTTTTTTTTTTTTCCAATTTGAGCAAAGCTGTACACTCCACAGCTGCACCACATCTATTCCTGTTAAGGCAATCGCAGTCCTGCTGTTCCTCCAGCTTGCTCAGTCCTTCGACTCGTGCTCACAAGTTGCTCAGGAATTTTCTTCTCGTTTTGAAAAGGTCTTTGGTGCTCTGGGATTACTTCTTCGAGTCAGTGCGTCTGCTGCCATATGTTCTAAGTGTAGTTTTTTAGAACTCTGTGTATTTTTAAAAAGGTTGCCTGTGCTCAGATTGGTAGTTTTTAAATGCTTTTAACAGTCAGTGCACGTCCGATGTGATCTGTGCCTTTGTCCGTTTAAGCTATACTTGAGATGACCAGCTTTTCTCACAGCCCAGATTCAGAGATAAACCTGGGAGATTAGCCCATCGGCTTCTGTAAATGAAGAATTTAATCCCAAAATTTTTAGCAGCTTCTCACTTTTCCTCTTATTTCACTGTTTTGCTCACCTGAGACCAAGCAGTAAAAGTGCCCTTTTTTTGCTGTACCGCAGTGATCACAGCTGTAAATCCAGGTTGTCCCTCACTTGAAGCCCTTTGGTGCAGAGAGCATGGTTGAGACTGACTTTCGGTTCACTTTCTAATCCGAACGTTCTTATTTGACTCTTTCTTTTGTGACGCTGTGAAGAAGGGCGAGCGGCTCTGGTTGGTTTTGCTGTCACCTGCAGAGTCGCTCGCAGCAAAGGCTCTGGGGAGCCTTCCGTGCCCTCAGGGGGGCAGCTGCCCAAAAAGGGGCTCTCGGGGAGGTGCCCCCCCCGCCGAGGCCGACTCCGTGCTCCCCTCCCACCGCCTCCAGCCCGGGGGTCCCCCCGTCTCCTGCCGTGCCCCCGGGCCGGGGCCCGCGCGGACGGCAATACTTACCTGCCCGCTTGGGCTTGGCGACACGCCCAAGCCTTGACTTGCAGCTTGATAACAAGCTCATAATTCTGGATCAAAGATGTCAGGATTTGGATTACTGTCAGCTGGTTATGAATATAACGCGGGTTATTTTCCTTGAGCGACTCTGCAAAATTATATCGAGATTTTGTGTTTGTTTTTATGCTAAGATAATTGTCGCTAGCTTTTTAGTTCAAGGCCTTCAGCTAATGGCTTAAGGATGGAGTAGATTGTCCTCATTTGCATCAGCATCAAACTGATGTAATTATTTTTGCACTAACAGTATCATTTGAGCTTTATTTTTATCTAAATAAAATTTGACTAACATTTAGCAAGTAAAATTTTCACCTTCTATACTTCCTGATCTGTTACAGGTCAATGCACAAACTGACTCAACTGGAGAGACTTGATCTGGGCAATAATGAATTCTCTGAGCTGGTAAGAAATGCACCATTTTTTAATGGAAAGCCTGTGCGTGTTGGATGCTCTGTGCATGGGGCATTAAACTTTTACTTAAAAGGCATTATTGCATTGTGGCCACGTGCTGTGGTCACATTTCCTTGCAGAATAGAAGATTGATCGTAGTTCATGAGGTGAATGTTGATAACACAATGTGCTTCATCTGCACCAGGCTTCTGCGGTTCAGATCAAGGTCACGGACAATTCTCACTCCGAGCTGGTTGCTGCTGCTGGAATCCTTCAGTGTGGGGTGGACTGATGAGCTCAATATAAATGCTTGCGTCGATTATGTGTTGATTTCTTAATATCTATCATTATATCTTGCAAATAATAGGAGTTGCTGTTAGCAGAAGTAAATTTTGGACTCCAAAGCAGTTTCTGTCCCTAACTCACCTCTCAGATGAGAATTAGGTTCCTTGAGGTTTAATAGCTTTCAGGAATTTTCTCTAATATCAGTATAGAAAATAATCAAGTTGCCGTTGCCTTTAGGTGTGTTGCTACTGCACCTGTAGGAACTGCTGCTTCTCAGAAACTGTATGAGGGCGCTTAAACTGTGTTTTTAAATGTGCCTATTTTTAAGGAGAGCTCATCGACTGCATCCTGCAGGAACTGTAAATATGTTAAGAGAAGCAAAACTTAGAAAAACTACTGCCTCACCCTTTTTGCAACCTGTCACTGCTAGGGCTATTTGGGGGGGGGGGCTGTGCTTTTGTAGGGCAACAGAATAATACTGTGATACTCACTATTGCACTGATGGCAAAATAAATGTCTGCATGAGCCTTATCCCCCAACAGCCTGTCCAGTGACTGTTAAACCCTGCGAGCTGAACCCCCATCCCTCCAGAGCCATAGAACAACCTGTAAAAATAGTGCTGCCGGATCAGGCCTGACAATGTTATGGGGGTGATATTTCCTCTAGCTTTAATTAAAATTAAGATCGTTTCACTTCAGACAAATTTTAAAGTGTCATCTAGTAGTAGAAAGCTGTAGCAAAGAGTGTACATCTGGTTTATAGGCAGTGCACTATCTTCTGCCATTATGGTTATAACCCTGATAATGTTTACTAATTTATACTGCTACGTAGGAGAAGATAGGTGGTTTTAACTCTGACTTTCAGTTGAAGCTAGAAATCTTTTGCACAGATAAATAGAGTAAAATTTCCAGAAGTGCTATCTTGAATTTTGATCAAAAGAAATATATATATATGCTTCCTGAATTCAGAGTGTGTCTTTTTTTGGAGGTGTGTTGGGGGCGGTTTGGTTTTGTAGTCTTTGCTTTAAATGACTTCACCATCATTCTGCGGTTTTGCATTGTAGCATACGGTCCCCTAAGAGTGGTAAATCAGGAGCCCGGTGGCCCCGTACCGCTATTAGGACCAGACTCCACGAGTTCACGCGTTTTTCAGGAAGCTGGTCCAAAAATGTATGAACTCGAACCAAATTCCAGAAGCAAAATGGTCCAAGAGGCAGGGGAACAGCATGAATCTGCAGAACCGTCACAGGGGAAGTGGTACTACTTTAAATCAAGACCACCTGGAAAAAAGGATCAAAAGGTCCTCTTTTCATGGATTCTGAAAATCTGGTTTGGGTTTCAATAGAAACTTCCTTCTCGTTGGAGGAAAATACTACCTAGAAGTGTGGTGGTGTGGAAGAGCTTGATTTCTTTTGGGAGTCTGTCCCCGGACTATTGGAGTCCCGCACTTTGCACTGGGAGACTCTGTGCTCTTCATACAGACCGACTGGAGCAATAGGCATGGGGCTAGGAATAAAGGTGGCTGCAAAAATTAAGTAACTCTTCTCATTCATTTTCTGGAAGCAAGAATATACAAATCATGAGGTAGGAATGTGTTCCTAAAATAGAAATTGTCACTTCCTAAATAGCAGCCGTATTCAAGTGACTTAATGTAATCAAGGAAGGGAATAAGTAATGGGTGTCACAGGTCTCCGGGAGAACTGGAGCATTAAATCACAAGGTTTGGGTCAAGGATTTGCGATCTGACAATCTTGGAGGTGTCAAAAAAATGGCCCCGGACAAATGATAATCAGCAACTGCAGCACCTCTGCCTGGAGGCAGCGGGGAGGCTGGTGTTGTGCTTCCCTGAATTTTAGGAGTCTGCTGTCAGTAGCAAGGCTTTAGAAGGAATTTTGAAAGAAAGTAGTTAAAGGTAGGGAGAAAAGGAAAAGGAAAGAGGATAGAGTGTAATACACATTTATCAAAGGTTGATGTCAGTCTTCAATTCAGACTTGATGCTGGGAAGCGTTTCTTCACCGAGAGGGTGGGCAAACCTGGAACAGGCTTCCTGGAGGGGGGTCGATGCCCCGGGCCTGTCAGAGTTTAAGGGGCATTTGGACAGTGCCCTTAATAATATCCTTAAGCTCTGGTCAGCCCTGAAGTGGTCGGGCAGCTGGACTGGGTGATCACTGCAGGTCCCTTCCAACTGCAGTAGTCCTGTCCTATTCGTCTCCTCTTCTCCCCTCCCCTCCCCTCCCCTCATGGCAATCTACATGGAGAATGAAAATATTCTTCAAAAATACATCGGTGGAAGCATTTCTAACAGAGACAAATGAGTTTTTCATGCCACTTATCAAAACATTAGTGAGAGCTCATCTGGGTTATGGTATACCATAATGCTATACCATAATGCATGCTCAAGAAATTTCAAATCGAGCTCTAATGTGTACAACATAGGAGTAGTCTGTTGCCTTTGAGAAGGGTGTCTGTCTGATGAGAGGAATTTAAAAGAAAATTAAAGTTGAGAGGGGAAATTATGATTACCTATCATAACCTTAGTCAGTGACCACTCTGGAGGAATAAAGAAACATTAATCATCACAGGAACAAATAGTATAAAATGACCATTAATCGGTTTAGTCTGGAAATTAGAAGCGGTTTTAACCATTGAAGGACAACAAAATTTCAATAGAATTAGCCAAGGCAAAATAAATTATCTTTAAAATATTGACTAATCATTTTTTAATGGGAACACGTTATGTGACAACATGGGAAATGGAGGGATTGAGCTCGCCGGATTAGCAGGTTCGTTCTTCTCTGGTGACGCACTGGGAGCTTCTCCCGTGAGGTGCCGTGTGACCCGGGCAACTGGAAAATCACATTTCTCCTGGGAATGACAGCATTCCAAAGAATTTAGGAGATAATTAGAGATCTCTCTCAAGGTCCTGTGGTGCTAGACAGATACATCTGTTTCTAGGCGTGTTGAAATAATTCCAGTGGAACAGCACTACAGTCTTTGAAAGTGCTAGAACCTGATGTAGTCAGAACCAAATGAAATATTTAATACCAGTTTCTGGCAGACTTTGAAAAAAATCTCTACAACTTTATAGAGCTAAAGCAAATTGAAAGTCTTGCTTTACTTGTGAAAATGGTGTTTCATGAAAAAGAAAAATACTGCGTGGGCTGAAACATGGAAATATTTTTGACCTGATAATTCTTGATTTTCAGAACAGCTGCAACGAACGAGGAGTGATTTGGGGAATTGTCTTTTTCAGTTTCTCTCACTAATATCCTACGATGTTGAAAAGAGTAGAACATCTGAAAGTTTAATACTGTAATTTTAAAGGCTTTATCATAGCATACCTCTATTTTAACTACTGAATATGACAACTGCAGACATTCAGTTGTACGTAAACACAGTATATCCAGGGACGTGTTCAGCAGCATGCCTCTAGTAAGCCATTTTTAAGACTATAAACCTTGCAAAAGGCAGTTTCGCATGTGCTGCAAGATGAAATTTGGTCTTTCTTTTCAGCGCATTGTTTCTGAAGCTCCACAGTTCTCACTTCTCTTGTTTGCCTTGTTCATAAATTGCATACTGCCAGTAGACTGCTTAGGACAAGAACTTCTAAGGAATTCTTCTTTGTATTCATTTCTTTTCCAAAGGTTTCTAAAGTTTTTCAAGTTTTGAAAGAGAGCCACAGTGGTTAAATTAAATGAAAGGAGCATACTGTTCATGTCATTAACTATCTGAAAGTCTGATGTGGGTTATAAAAAGACAAAAAAAGTAAGGAGAAGAGGGAATTTTTTTAAAGTAAATATTGATTTAGACTGAACTAAAAAAAATACTGATTTAACTGTCCATAATACTTTTTTTTTTTTTTTTTTCCCCTCAGCCTGAGGTTCTCGAACAAATACAGAATCTAAAGGAATTGTGGATGGATAATAATTCTTTGCAAATACTACCTGGGGTATGAACATTTATTTTATGTAGTTAAATTATTGTGTGATATAGTGAACTATTTACCTAAATAAATGCATGTGCGTTTTCTTGAATAGGTATGTATTCCTAGTTCGTATAGCTGTTAATTATTATCAAGAAATATCCAGAATGAAGTGACAGGCTTGTGATGGTGGATCAAGAAGCACGTTGCTTCTACAGGCTTCAAATGCTTACACGCTACCCAGATTTTCAAAGAAATGCGGGAAGAATTCCTGTCACGCTGCTCGAGGCTGCTAGAGCTGCAGTGAGACACTGTATTCACAGGAGCTGGGGTTAACCGCTCGTAACTGAACCACGACTAGCTAAAGTCTAGTTTTAGATTTTATAAAACCCAGAGAAGCGGTTTGACGCAGGAAAGCTTCACCTGCATGATCTTCGGGGATGCTGAGTAAGATGTAGGTTGTGAGTAAACGTCCTTTGGCTCTGTGTCCAAATGAAGCAATAATGCAGCTGCGTGACTGGGAACTTAAACTCTGAGCAGATTTAATGAGCCTGGAGCACATTCATCAGTTTGGTATGTGTCATTTAGTTTCTTTTTCTGCAAAACTTCCTTCTGCAGTTCTCTGAACAGCAAGGCTGTTGGACCACCACTGGTACCGCGCCGGTGAAATAACTCTTGTAAAAACAGTGCTCAGATAATTGAATATAAGCCTGTATTATTATTGTCTGTCTTTAATTAAGCTTAGAAACTGGCAGGCGGTGTGTACCCGTTCAAGTAACACTTTGTAACATGCTATTAAGTCTATAGGGAAGTTAAAACAGCTCGTGTACCTGGATGTGTCAAAAAACAGGATAGAAACTGTTGATTTGGACATATCAGGATGCGAAGGACTTGAAGATCTCCTGTTGTCATCCAATATGTTGCAGCAACTGCCAGACTCCATAGGTGAGAAAAGCTCAGGATTTCCTGTCATCTTTTACAGCTGAGGATTTCATTTCTATGTTTCTTGGTAATTAGGAGACTTTATAATAGCTCTGTACATCTGGATATTTCATTTCAGTCTTGATTTCTTCTATTTGCTCTGGAAACACCTGAGGTCTTTCCTCTCTTCTGTTGCTTCCAGCCGATGAGCCCACCGCATCACCATCAACTTTTTTCACTTTCCTAATGCATCCCATAGGACATGGAACTGTTAAATTCCCCAATTTAAAATCAACTTAGTCAAGATTCCAAAATGTATTGCTAGTTAATAACACTGTGCTACACGAATGTTACTAGATGCCTTTTAGAGCTGTTTTCCATTCTGGTCTTCTACTTCCCACTATAAATTCTACAATGTTTGCTTTATGTGGTTTTCTGATACACATATGTAGATTGAATTTGAGAGGGCATTTAGCTCCTGTACAAAAGGAATAAATGTTTATGTTCTGAATTACACATTCTTGCAATTAGATACAATCAGTTCTCATTTCTAAATTCCTATTACTGACTGGTAATAGATTTAACAGAAGTAAAGCAAAAAGAGTCATTTTAATACTGCATTTTCAGAGGAGAGCTTGCTGAAATTCATTTTGGTGGAAAATTTTCCTCTTGAAAGAAAATTCTGTTGAAACCTAAATGTTTCTGGAACACGTTGGTTTTGAAAAAGTTTTCAACAAAAATGTTCTGCCATTTAAATGAGTAGTGTTTCTAGTATCCCTTTTAATGATACTTTTCATTTGCTTCAGGTTTCATATTATGGCACATTCAGTTTAACATTTTTCTCTGTATTACGGATTAATTTATATTATTCCCAACATTAATTGCAAAGAATAATTTTAAAAAATCTATTTCAATATACTCATAAATCTTTGGGGGAAAAAACAGATTTTGAAAGGTTAATAACTTCTGGAACATGCAAATCTCTTTCAAGCTCTGTTTCTAGCGCTGTAATTCAATAGTTTTGCCATTTTTTTTCTGTCTGCACTTTCTTATTGCTTTCTGTTGTTACGCACTGATAAAGCAGAAGTTTCATTTCCCTCTTGATAAATGCTACCCAGCAGTGCATCTGCTTACACTTAGATATATAATAATTCTTTTCATTACAAGAATGAACAGCATGTACGAATGCATTCAGGATTGATTCTGACTTTCAGTCTGATTCTGGTTTTCTGTCTATACCTACACACTGTAAAGTTTTATAAATGTAGCATTTACTTTAGATAATTCACTTAATGGCCTGTTATGACCTGGGTATCAAGGCAACAGGACGTGAATTCAATTGAAACACCACTAGATAAGTAGAAATACTACTCTTCCTACACAAGCTACTTTTTTTTTTTTTTACAGTTTTTTTCAAGACTCCAGAAATACGCTTGATATTTCACTTGCAGTTCAGCTTAACATTTAATCACTGCTTCATTTTGATGAAACATATTTTCAGTATGACAAGAATGTGGCTACGTACTGTCCTATATACGGATGTTTTCTGAAATCTAGATCAAAGTTAATCGGTGTTAGAAATCATCACTTCTTTAAGGATACAGGAGATTACAGAAAGTAAAAGAGATGAATGTGAAAAATTTTTCTATTCTTTTTCACCTGTTCTGTAGGACTGTTGAAAAGGCTTACAACTTTAAAAGTAGATGACAATCAGCTTACGATTCTGCCAAATGCAATTGGAAAGTGAGTATAAGTCTTATGTTTTTCAACATTAAGTGAAATGTGTTTTCCCTTCTGCTTGTAGAATGTGGGGGTTTTAAAATAAAAAATAAGACAAAAATGTACTGAATTATAAAATAATTTCAAAATGTGTGCCTCACGCCCAGCTTATAGCAGTTAAACTTGGAGCAGCGCTATTACTGCTGTGGACTTATACTGGTGTAAGTAATAAGAAGATGAAATGTATCACATTTTCCAAAAAAAAGAACAAAGCTATTTTTCTGTATGAATCACTTGCAATTTAGATGATTAGAGCAGCAAAAGCAAAAGAAGTAGAAGTATTTGGGGGAATACGTCTGTTTCCATAGCAACAGCCAGTACTTGATGCTGAAAAGAAAATGGCTGCAAACCTCATATATGTGAAGGGTTCTTAAAATATTGAAGTCGCATAAATGAAACAGTCGTGACGATTTCATCGGTGTGTACATCAAAATGTGAAAGTATCATAAAAGTAATCGTATTATGAAAAGCACTAATGATGCCCCGTAGCTCTCGTTTTGTCAGATATTACACGATCACTGGTGCAAAATTCTGTCTTGTGCTGGCCTGTGTCTTGAGCTTATTGCTAAAGGAACTCTGCAATTTATTGTAAAATTCGAGGCGGATCCAAGCCTGTCTCCACGTATGGAACTAGGCAAGTCCTTACGTTGTTCCACGCTACACATAACCCTTTCTAGCAGAACGTATCTTTTACACTGATATTTCTGTAGGATGCTTCTTCCTTTACCTGTTTTCCTTCTGAAATGCCGTATCAACTGTATTTGTAAAAAAAAAAAAAAAAAATTCCGAATGCGTGGTTCCTGGCTTTCTCCCACGCCTGTAGCACCGGTGTTTCCACCGTCCCCCTCGCTCCAGCAGTGGTGCTGACGCGGCAGAAGCGGAGTTCAGCCTCAGGGACGGGCGGCTGGCGCGACGGAGGGCCCTGCGTCCCGGCCCCGTGCTGCCAGGAGGCCAGCGCCGCAGCGGGGCACCGGCGGGCACAGTCGCGCTCAGCTCGCAGCGCAAAACCCCTTCTGACTTCAGCAGGTTCTAGCTCAACAAAGTATTTCGTTAGAAGTAGGATTCTCAAGCCAGGGCTGTTCGGAGGCTTCCGGAACTGAAGCCCAGAAGGCTTCATTTAGTCTTGTCCAGAAACAGGATAGCACAGTGAGGGCTCTAGAACAGAAGTAATCTCTAACCTGAACAGCCTGTGCTTTGCTCCTCCTGCACCCGTTTTATAGTAATGATTTCAATAATAATTTCGTTGTTGGTATGGCATTTGGGAAAAAAAAAAAATATCCAAATTTGTGTGCGGTTACTACTGTAGCAACTGAGGGCTCGGGTTTGACTTACCATGCTGTACTTCTTGCAGGGGCTTTAGATTTAAGTGATATTAATGGAAAGTGTTAAAAGTTGGTTACATGAATCACAAAAGGGCAAATCTTTGCCACGCAAATCATTGTGTAGCAATAAATTCTGATAGGCAGTGAAAGCTCCTAAGGCTCAAAGCTGTACTGGGCACTGCAAAAAAGGCTGATGTAATGTCCAACATGAACAATTTTGCAGGGCAATTTTTAAAACCTTTCTTATCTGTTGAATTGCTCAAGTCGAAGGGGAACCCCTCTTTTTTTTTTTTTTTACCTAATATCTGTTCAGTATTGTTTGTTATGGAGCCTTAATTACGTTTTTGAAGGTGCACAGTGCTGCTCTAAATGGTGTATATGCGGAGCAGTGGGCTAATCACTTAATATTATCACATTATTTTTGAGTGGTTGTGCTTTTTAAATGAGGTACTTTCTCTCATTTAATGAGGACAGCATCTCCCACATCAAAATGAACTTCCTTTCTCTGACTCATCCATTTGGATAGTTTCCTACTGGGTCTCTTTCTCCTAAATAGTATGGTAGTACCCACTGCAGAGTATATTATTGTCACACAAAGATGAGCAATGTGGAGGAGGGAACTCTCCCTCCAGGGGCCAATTTCAGGATGAGACACAGAGCACTGCCACACTCTCTGAGTCGATGCTGCTAAGAGTCAACCACCACCCTCGTTTTTGGCAGGCTTGTTCAAAGGGCAAGCCTGCAAGTGGTATTTAGAGTTTGATCCTGCAAGAGACTACACACGGGAGACCCAGCTTAATAAAACACGCCAGGTAAAATCAGGGGACTCACATCGATTGAGTACGTTAGCCAGCTGGACCCAGAGGCTGGAGGTTTTATCTGTAGGACCTGAGTGAATGCACGTGCTTCCCCTTGGTGGGGGGGAAGGTGCCGTGACCCATGCGTGGGTAATGGGGCAGCAGGTCAGGGGTTTGTGTTAGACGAGTGTTTTATGTGTCTAGCCTGTACCACATCTGACAGTGCCAGGTGCTGCAAATGCAAGTGCGAGCTTGTGCGTCTGAGTCTGCAGAATTCCTTCTGCCCGACGTTGTACCAGTAGCGGGTGTCGGGAGCCGAGGATTTCGGCTGCTCTGGCAGATCCTGGGGGCTGTGGCTGTTGGGAGAAACGGGCTGTGGCTGTACGAAACGGGGCTGAGATGGGTTGGAACTACTCTGTTGTTCACGGCAGTCTTCATTCTCCATGAATCTCTCTCTACTAATGTGTCTAAAAATATTCCTCATCTGCCTTAGGACTTGTGTTGTGAATTGCTTCATTTCAGTGGGTGCCAAACTGAACAGCAAGTGCATATCTGATTTTTGTCTGCCTTTCTTTAAACGTACCAAGAATGATCTGAATTTGGCCTAAGAAGACAGTAAGGTTAATGATATTTTAGCTAAACTACCACTGTCAGAATTATAGCTGTTATTATCAACTTACTTTCATGCACAATCCACGAAGAATGAAAAATCACTTTCTGAAGTGCGTGTTTTCTTAGCCATGGTGGTTACAGAGAGGAAATTTAGTTTCACACTGACTTTGTTGTTTTTGTTGTGGCCATCTTCATTTGTCTGCTGCTGAGGTCATCAGGAAGGAAAGAAGCGGAGAATGTCTGCCAGACAACACCTTTCAAATCAAATTCTGTTGTCTGATAAAGTGATTCTGCACTGTCAGGAAAACTTCCACAGTTACAGTTCCGAGTATCAGATTTTCCGATTGCCATTGGAAGCGTACTAGCTCTCAATTAGCTTATCTGTTCTCAAGCTTTTCTGGTTGTGTTATCATCAGCAAAAGGAAGAATGTGTCCATCTTGCAATTTAACAAACTTTCCAGTTGGACTTCTCTCTGTCAAGCACATATTCTGTATGAAGCAGGTAAACATGACTGAATTCTGTCTTTACGGAAATTGTTTTGTATCTAGTTTGAAATAAACTGGGGTGGATACAAAGCTCGTACTAAAGAAAAACTATAACCAAAACCTGGCAGAGCTTTTGGATATATTCCATGAGTCTCTTTCACTAATCACTGTATGACTCACTTTGGCTTTTCAGTCTACTGAAATGCAGCAATTAGAGGAAAGTTCTGAGAATTCCATGTTATGAATAGCTACTTCTGGTTTCATGTTTCAAAAAGTTTGAAGGCTGAAAGACCTTTTTTTAATTAAGAAACTGGAATAAAGGTAAGTTAGGCATACAATGAAGGTCCAGTCCTGCAGCTGTGACTCATAAATACTAAGGAGCAAGGTTTGTCGCAGAGGTGCTTTTTATCAGATCTACCAAAACATTTTGAAAAAAACCAGACAACCTTCTGGGCACCTAGTCCCTTTGTCAGCGGACAGGGAGATGACAAACACTGAGGAAGAAATAATTGCTTGCCATTTAACCTTACTATTAATTAAAGCGCTTGAGAGACGATGGTAGTACGTGTGGAGCAGAAAAGGGGCAGCAGAAGGAGGGAACAACGGCATTTGTAATGGGGCACCAGAATTTCAGTCCACGAGCTGAAGGAGCAGTGCAGTACAGCATTCATTGTAAGAATTTTCATAGCCAGCCTGATTTTCTAAGAGATTCAGCAGATATTTCTTCAGAATATTTATATATATGCGTGCGTGTATGTGCGTAATATATATGTGATATGTATACATTGTTAGAGATCTGTCTATAGAAGATGTTTTACACAGATAGGCGTAACACTGTTTGTGTTTCTTGCGTTAGCGAAGGTCACACTGTTGATTGTTAACCGCCACGGTAAGATGGATGTTTAAGTGTTGCCTGGTACCACCTGCTGCCCTCAGGGAACAGGCAAACACGCAGAAGAGTCCCGAGGCTAGGACGGGGTGCTGAGGAGCAGCAAAATGCCTCCCGTTCGGGGCCGGAGCAGCGGAGGGTGGGGAGGGCCAGGGGCTGAGCCAAGGTGATAAAACGCAGGGAGGTGCTGACCGCCGGTTCAGTGCACCGGGGGCTGGGGGGTCTCGGGCACGGGGGGCTGCGGCTGTCCCGGTTCAAGGGGGGAGTTTCTGTCAGCTTGTCTCTGTTTCACCCCCTTCCCTGAAAACGTGATTACGGGGAGGGAAAGGTCAAGTCCCTTTCTTGTCACAATTTGACAGAATGCAGCAATCTAGGAAAAAAAAAGATACAAGATAGAAAGGGAGATTATTTCATTTTTTTAGAAGGGAGCACTTGGGTGTCAGAAGATTACTTTGCTCTGCTTTGCTTCGGTCCTTGCCACACAGATACCCTTTCAAGATCACTTTTCAGCCAGCTTTCTCAGCAGGTGAGAGATAAGCACTTGTACGAGAGCTGTGTCTGACTCCAGCAGGCCGAGATTACTTTCCTCAGTTTGGACCCAAGCTCATCTTTTCTCGCTACTGATCTGTATTAGAAGTGATGTCAGATGCATCGGTTGGAATGTACCCTGGGGGGCAATTTCTGCTTCCTTTCCCTTTGCTTTCACCGGCGGTGTTACTTTACCAGTTGCCTGTCTTTGTACGTTAAGATTATAAACTTTTTGGTTCGATTCTTCAGTTTACTATGAATCGCCCTTATCACTGTCTGGCTGACGTACTTGGAATTCGTCCTTACTACAAAAAGTGAGAATGATAGTGTGGGGAAACTTTCTTAAACTGCCTTACTGGATAAGGTTGGTTAACAGAGTATTTAATAGTTCCTACAATCATATTATTGTAGACTTCTACGGAAATCTGTACTAAAGGTTCCCTCTTCAGGACACGATGTCTGTAGTAGTGTGATGCTTTGAAATTTTCAGAGGTTTTAGATTGTTAATTTTCATTGTCTAGTCCTTGTATAGCATCTAACAAGCGTATTTACAATTTCAGTTTATCTTTATTAGAAGAATTTGACTGCAGCTGTAATGAGTTGGAGTCCTTGCCCGCTACCATCGGCTACCTTCATAATCTGCGGACCTTGGCTGTGGATGAGAATTTCCTCCCTGAGCTGCCCAGAGAAGTGAGAAGCTGATTCTGATTTGAAATTACAGATTTAAATGTTTTGTGGTTGGCCCGAGATTCCATCTCTACCCAGACAAAATATCTGTTAAAGCAATTGTTTCTGCACGATGTGGAAGACCGACTCTTTCTTATATACATGATAGTAAACCCAGTAAATTAGTAAATTGATGCAAAGGTGAGAGTCTGGCTCAGAAGAGCACTGCAAGTAACCCTGGGCTTCTCCCCGATCTTACTGACAAAGAGAGGGCAGTAGTTTTTGACTAGGTTCTCAATTTTCTTCTCGTCAGTTACAGTAAAAACACAATTTGGCCACTTCCCAACAGAAAAGTTAGTGATAATAAATTTTATCGAAGGAGGTATCCTAACATCTTTGGTTTTTTCATTCTTATAGATTGGAAGCTGTAAAAATGTAACAGTGATGTCTCTGCGCTCTAACAAGCTAGAATTTCTTCCTGATGAAATTGGTCAGATGCAGAAGCTGAGAGTGTTAAATCTGAGCGATAACAGGTATAGTTCACATAATTTTTCTAACCCATTATAAGAATTTATTTTTTAAAAAATTTAAATTATTCTTTTTAGGTATTTGTAAAAATCCATTTATCTAAAATATATTTTTACATATAAAAAATTATATTTAGAATTACTTTATCTAAACTATAAGGAAAAAAAACCCTGATTTTTTTTTTTTTTAATCTTTATGGATTGGTCTTAGTTCTGCTGACATCCAAAACCAAACTTGAATGGGGCCAAGATCTGGGACTTAGTGTGTTTTAATAGATTAAAACCTGCTTACTTCTTTTATCTCCCGCTGTTTCCATGTGGAAGTGTGATATTTGGCTTTAAAACTGTTTATAACCTTGTCATATTTCCTGATTAAAAAATAGCGACAGACTGATACATAGGAAGCCATTAAATGCAAGCACACTAGCATGTTACCCTGCCTCCACTGAAATCAAAGAAAATTTTCTATTTCCTTCAGCAGAGCAAAGGTTTTTGTCAAAACCCCAGATTCTTCTGTTCTTATGCACATGCGTGTTCCTCTGAGAAACGGAATGCTTGAAATGAGCCTTTCTTGATGCCTGTCCTGTGCTGCCATAGGCATCCGAAAAGACTGACTATTCCTTGAGATTTATACGTGCTTACGTTCCAAGAATACGTTAATTTTCAGTATAACCACAGAAACACAAGTTTGCTCGGTAGTGCAACGTATGGTCCGTGAATTCCATTTTGTTTCCAGTAATTTTCATCCACGCTCTGTAAAAATTAGGGGAAGGACCTTCCGCGTCTGCGTCTGACTTACTGTCAGCAGTTTCACTGTTGAAATGAAGGTTGAGCATAAAATACGAAGTGATGCCGAATTCCCTGTGATATATTTGTTTAAAATTACGTGCTTAATTCTGTTAGATTATTTCCCTCGTTGCAATCGTGTAACATAAAACGCATTATGGATGGACCAGAACGTAAAGTTCAACTTAACTCTAGTTTGTGTTGAAGCTGCCCGAGTCCCAGAGTCAAATCTCGGGTCTCTTGACTTTGAGTTTGAGATGCCGGTGTTTTCCCAGGGGCAGGGAGTACTCTCCCATCGGTGTGTCACCACAGCAGTGTAATTTTTATCCCTGTAAGGCTTTTAGCTGTACAGCTAGAGTCTGAAACTGTATCTCAGGCGCCACTTTAAATTCACTCGGGCTGGCATTCGTGCCGGCAGAAATAGCCTGCCTGCCCTTCGCTGGTCCTGCCTCCGTACGCCCTGTCCCGCCCCAGGGCAGTTTTGCTCGGGTGTTCGCTGATCTTGAGTGCCTCGGGGGTAGGGGTGAGAGAAATACGGGGAGTTTTCAGAGGGAGGTTTGCAGTGGCTTGGCCCAGCCGGCCGTGGTGGCACGCAGGAGGCGGCGCGGGGCGGCCGTAGGGGTGAGTTTGCATTGAGGAAGCAGAACACCGGTGTGGTTGGTTGGTTGTTGGTTGGGTTTTTTTCTTTGTTTTCTTTTTTTTTTTTTTTTGTTGTTGTTGTTGTTTTGGTTTGGTTGTTTTTTTTGGTTTTGTTTTTGTTTTGTTTTTTTTTTTTTTGTTTTGTTTTGTTTTGTTTTGTTTTTTTTGTTTCGGGTTTTTTTTTCCCGTTTTTTTTTTTTCCCCCGTTTTTTTTTTTGTTTGTTTTCTTTTTTTTTTTGTTGTTGTTGTTGTTGTTGTTTTGGTTTGGTTGTTTTTTTTAGTTTTGTTTTTGTTTTTTTTGTTTTGTTTTGTTTTGTTTTGTTTTTTTGTTTCGTTTTTTTTTTTTTCCCGTTTTTTTTTTCCCCCGTTTTTTTTTGTGTTTTTTTTTTTTTTTTTTTTTTTCCTCTTTTGCCAAGTTACTCTTCGGCAGGGTCAGCTGCTGATGTCGGGCACGTGGCTGCATGTGTAACCAGTGAGCGTGAGCGCTGGGGCGGGGCGGCTCGCTGCGGGGGGCGGGCAGCGGCGGCGGTCAGAGCCGACCCGGCGCCTGGCTGCCACCGACGCAGCAGGCCCGCCTCGCCCCCCCTTTTTCCCCAGCTGCCCAGGTATGCGAGAGGCCTGGGGTTTCCGTTGTGCAGGAGGGTAATTACAGGACCAGCGTCCCAGGGACGTGACGTTCCTTGGGGTGGAATGGGTCAGCTGCTGTCCTCCCCTCCAGCGCTGGCTGGTAGCGCTATGTCTGCCCCCGTGCTTGCTCAGGGCTCACTGGACGTGTCACTGAGCTGCTTTATCTCGCTGAAAATGGAAGGAGCTCTCGTCCTTCTTGTCGTGTTCATTTTATGACCCTCCTCGTGATCCGTTTGCTGACCGTGGAGTCTGTCAAACACCGAAGCCAGCTACAGGTGAAGTGGCCATGCACCAGAGCGGGCGTGAGGAGGGCAGGGGGACAGGGCCTTTGCCTGTTGGGGTGGGAAGCTCTTCTCCCAAGTCAGCCTGAAAAGCTGTGCAGGGAGTTTTAAGCATTGTAGGACTAGCGGGAGGGCACAGTCTAGACTAGGAGAGAGAGGAGCTGACGCAGACTGTAGACCTTCAACCTTTGAACCTGGTGGAATTGTCTTCTTGCTTTTCTTGAGGGGTCTGGGGAGTAGATTTTTCCTCCTTTGTTGATGCCAATTCTGGCTGTGGTTAAATGTTGCCCTGCTGAGACGTTGTGCTAATGCTTTTGTTATGGAACTTCCCACCTAAATGAAACCAAAAAGTTTCAGTGTTTTGGCACCAAAGAGTTTGGGCAGCAAAGTTCGGATACCATCTTAATGTTGGATTGATTGATTTTTTTTTTTTACTTTTCTGTTTTCCCATTTTTGCATTCATCTTAAAATTAAGGCAATCTCCAATTCTTTCTTTGAATGAGTCCACATGTACATGCTAGTGAGGAGCTTACTTGGGCTCCCCTTGTTGCTAGGACCCTCTCTGTGTTACCACAAGTTTTGCCCCGCTACTCTTCCTGCGTCAGATACGACAGAGGAGGTAGAGCACGCCAGCTCTTCTCCTGGATACCTCTTTGAGCCATGGGAAGAAGAGACACAGGCGTTGAAGCAGAGCAGAAAGGCGATTCTAGAGCCAAGGGGTCAGTGCACGTGCTTCACCCCGTGGTGACGGGCTCAGCCTTTTCCCTCTCAGCCTGGTAGGAGGGCGGCAGAGCCCCGGCCCCTGTGGGCTCCACGGCCAGGGCAGAGCCATTCTCACCAGACACTGCCCATGCAGCCTTCTTGGCATGAAGACCCTCGCACAGGTCTTCCGAGGGGCAGCTGTTACTCCCTGTACTATATAACAAATGGGGACGGACTGTACGTGTGACCATGTATTCTTTCAGAATTTATCCGGTCAGTCCTTCAGGACTTTCTCCTCCCGGCACCAGGGAGGATTTCACGTCCATTCTGGCAGGTGGCCGGCTGCTCATGCATCTTCGCACGTTATTTTCCTCGCAGAGGGAACAGACTTTGTCACCGTGACTGTCAGTCCATGCCGATCATCAAGGATGTGTAGTTTTACAAAGGGAAGACAGTCTTCCAGTGGGGATCTGTCCACTGCAGGTTCATCCCAGTGAACGATGCCTCAGGGTCACCTCCCTCTACTTTGTCACGTACCAAATTTCACCTCCAGTGTCTACAACAGTGGCCGTAAATGGTGCACTTGTGAATCCATTAGCCTCTCACGTCATTGCCTTTATCCCGGTGACTTCTCTGCTGGTAGCCAGGCTACTCAAGTGGTTGTTGAGAGGTACCCTTTTGCCACCAAAAATGTTCATTCTGGACACTCTCCTCATGGCACGGGGAGCGCACTCTGGCTCCAGGCATGTAAAGTACAGCGGTATTGGTGGCTTTGAACTTGCCTTGCCAGAGTGCACAGAAAATTTGCAGTCTGCTCCCTGAATGGTCACGCAGGTGCGAAGTGACGGACAACGGTGGTGTAGCATGTAAAGAGGAAAAGAGGAGCTCTCCCTCCCCCGCGTTACCTGGAGCTTGTCTGGGTATGAAAGTCAGAAACATTTTGGGAGATTTGGTCTAAAATCCTGATTGGATGTCTTGCAGGAAGGAGGCAAACCTGACATAGACCTCTTTGCCACTCAGGCTAACGGGAATCTCAGATTTTTTTGAGCTGACACATTTTGCTCGAAGGTCAGTGTTTGGAGTCCCTCTCTGGTGCATTTTTAAAACTATCGTTTCAACTACTGCAGACTCGCTCTCGTTCCATGTCTTTTGAAAGCCCTCATCGCTGTAAAACGGACCTTGCTGATCTTGACTGACCAGAAGCTGGTTTAGTTCCAGGACTTTCTTCAAATATTCACGTTAGAATTGCATTTTAACCAGGGAGTTAAACTCCAGCTTTTCTTTGCCATGCCGTACTCTTTAAGACTATATCTACACTTCTCATCTCCATAGCTGGGAGTCCTCTCTCCTTTTACCTTTACAGGTCCGACCCTTTTCTGTCCTGTCACAGGCTCTTCGTCCCTGGGAGTTTTCAGTTGTCTCTACACAGTAAAAGGCAATGATGGGTTGAATCCTGACTTGCTAAGGTGGAGTCTAATGAGGGCTAGTATGCAACTGAGCAGAGCTTAGGTGGCTTCACCCTCTGCAGTCAGGGAAGCTTTCACTCCAGATACTTGCTCTGCAGCCACCTGGAGATCATCCTTGCCTCTGCCGGGCATCACACTGTCTCCAGTGCTTCAAGAACCAATGCAGCATTTGATAAAGTAGCTTGTGCAATTACTACTTGCAGGAAAGATATCGAGACCTCCATCACATAATGAGTCGTTGGGGGTAGCTGCTTGGATTCAGTCACTGTTAAGAGTACACATGGGATTCATTCAAAGAAAAAAAGATGTCTTACCAGTAACCGGTGTTCTTCACAATGTGTAGTCCACATATACATTTGTCTTCCATCTGCTTCTCCTCTCTCCTCAGAGTCCTTCCAGGTATGAGTCCTGTGATTGAGAGGTAGAATTGTTAGAATGTACATTTGGGCTACACTTCTCAAAGAGCATCGGTTACTGGTAAGTAACCTTTCTTTTAGTTTTAGAT